TCTGTTTTATACTATTCTAATTCGAATAGTTCTTGAAGATGGCCTATTGGAATTGGGCTGAAAACGTTTGAAATTAAAGTAATAATAAGCTCAGCAAGAGTTTGGTGTTTTGTTTATATTTGTAAAGATACGGCTGAGGAAGTGGGAATAGCTACTTTCTGATGTCAAAAACGACTTCTAATAGTTTTTAATTTTTTTAATTAATATTTTTTATTATATATAAGTTTAATTAAATAGGGGGGTCGGAAATCGCAATTAAAATTTAAATTTTTTTTAAATATTTAAAAATATAGGCCGATTTCGTACTCACCCTACTTTAAACCCTTGTCCTCCCGAGACGTGTATGAGAATGTCCCGGGAAATCCAACTCTAGCTGTGTTCAAGGTCACCCAGCTGTGTAAACAATGACTCATCGGTGTTAAATTTCACAGAAAGGCAAGACAAAGGAAAATAAAATTTGAAGCTTTTTTTTCAAAATAAACGCATTTCTTTCAGTTTTAAGTATTTTTTATGTTTAATTACAATTATATCAAAAACTGCTGGGAACTTAAGGCGTTAAATCCAGCCCTGGTAGTATGCGTTTATGATGGACGTATCAAGGGGAATAATGCCTTCTGGAAAATTTATTTAAGGGTAACTGGTCCCCTATTCAGGCGTTACAGATGCGGAGAAAAACCTGGAAAACTTCACGAGGGTTCGCGCTTCGCCAGGACGGGCTGACGAAGCGCGAACCCACGACCGAACTCCCAGTGTTCATGAAACGGAACCGTTGGCCAATGTTGGGCCGTCGCGGAGTAATGTTCACGCAACGAGAAATAACGTCACACTGCACCGGAAAACGCGTGGGTCGCTTCTTGTTTTCGCAAAATTAGCAGCGAGGTCACTTGAGCACGCCAACGAAATCCGAGGCAATAGACGAAAATCGAGACAAATTTTTCGCGAAAAAAATCGACGAAAATCGAAACCGACGATAACCAAGGTATTACTGTACATTATACAAGTTTTTAACAAAAGTATTTTATTCGTAATCATTAAAATCATTAATAAATGTACATATCTCTGCGAGATCGCGTACACCCTAAAATAATTATAAAATATAAAATAATTATTATTTTTTAAGTAGATTTTGTCAAATTATTAAACAATTTATCACTTACGTTATACTCATTTCTACGCATATCCAAGAAACTAAAGCAAAATGTCATATCCATATCATCATCCTAAATAACATAATACAGTATATATAAACACAATGTAAATTTTCTAAACAATAATACAGTCGAACGTATAATACAGCTATATTTTATGTTACTGTCAAGCCGTTGTTCAGAGGTTTGACTGTATTATTTATATTCAAAATCAATAAACTTTATTATTAATAATGTCTTTCGAATTTAAGCTTACTATTTCTTCGTTTGACGAGCAAATCATCTGCATAACTTCTGTAAAGGATCTTTTTTCTAAACACCAAACGAAATCTTTTAACTAAAGAAAAACAAAATAATTTTAAAAAATCTATAATATCGTGAATATATTTTCTTTTTATTTTTTAAAATATTAGAAATGTTATTAACGTAATGTAATGATTAAATTACAAAAATACCTTTTCTTTGAAAGAATTAGAAACGTTCTCTTCGAAACAATTCCAAATTTTAGTTCTAACTTTTGGACTATAACCTGCAATTATATTTTGTATAATTAAAAATTTTTAAAATTTTACAAATTAAAAATATTCGAAATCTAAATTTATTTTAATAAGATGTATAAATAAATAATTTAATATAAAACTTACCACAAAATTTATAAATATTCTCAAATTTATAAATATATCCAAAGGCAATTTTGCAGATAAACAATGCGAAAAAGAATAAAATGTACTTCTTCATGGTGACTATAAAATAGATTTTAAGTATCTACACAATACATCTTATGCATATATCAATATTTAAATAAACTCGATAATTAATTATCTTTAAAAGTTTATGAAATTGTCATTAAAAATTAATGGTAAAGATGTACTGTACTTAGATTTTCCAAAGAAAAATTAATAATTTCCTTATTTAATTTTAAATGAAAACTTCTGTGTATTCATTACAGTCGACCCCCCTATAATGTGCGTTCCTATAACGACAATTCCTATAACGTAGCGAAAAAATTGTAGCAACATTCGTATAAACTACCTCCTATAACGTCGTTTCGCGACAAGATTGATAGAATCTGGACCAATAGTGGATGAGCAGCCGAACTACTTTCCTCCGACCCTGCGCCACGCTACGGAGCAGCTAAATTGAGTTTACTATCGTCTGTACAGTATTATATATAAATTAGGCACTGTACATATAATTATATATTAATTATATATAAATTAGGTACTGTATATATAATTATATATTAACTTAATTTATTGTAACTTTATTATAATTATATATATGCTTTCTGCCGCCTGGCAACACGCTACGGAGATTTTAGGCTAGTAAGTTGAGTTTATTATCG